ATATATATATATATAAAATTACAATTAAATCAAAACACTACTTTTGTTTAATAGTGTTAATTTCTTTTAAGGGGTGAATAACACCTTAAGTCAGACCTGAATCTCTGTACAATCCTTCTATGCTTAATGGACTTCATCTGCACTACAAAAAGTCAGACATCTCCTCTCTGTGTGTCTCCTGTAGGACAGCATGCTCAGGCAGCGCCTTGCGAGAAGACTGAGCAGTGGTACAGGGAGAGAAGCAGAACCTAATTTTGGACTTTTTGTTAGTGTTGTAGACAGAAAATCAAAACAAAAAAACAAAAAAGCTGAAGTATAATTTCTCATGCAGTAATTTACTACAAAATAAACTGTAAACATCATTGATCAACTAAAAAACATGCTAAATGATAAATGCAAAAGCAACAGACGTGAGAAATGTGCTCCCATGTTCAGCCTGTTATGTGTGTCATAATTCTAGAGTGATTTACTCGCAACAGCATTGCTAAAGTCTGTTGATTTTAATTTATAATGTGTAACATGTCATGATCAATCTGTATGAGTCAGTCTCCTCTGTAGAGACACAACTTTTTTAAGAGTTGAGGAGTTTTCATCAAACAAACACAAAATTTAGAAAAAGAGCACAAGAAAAATGTTTTTTTTTTTTTTTTTAGCAGCACTTTATAGAGTGAATTTTTCTTTTTGACTAATAGATTATTTTCTAGATTAACTGAATTTCAAAGACATCACATGTGCAGTCCTGTTCTGATTATGCAGAGGATAAACATCTGGCTTTATACTGAAAACCCCTCTGACTTTTAGTGGCAGAGGAATGGAGAATACAATAAAAGGTTACCACCATAATAGCTGCAGACAACTCCAAGTGCAAAGCTTTCCTTGTATTTCTCACATCTTGCATAGAACCATCACTGTTGGCCTTACTGGTAGCAGGTTTAGTGATGCATTATCCAAATGTGGGTCACTTTCAACACAGCCCAGATAATGCAGAGGAACTAAACCAGAAAAAAAAAATCTAGTAAAGAAATAGATCTCTAGCAAAAATGTGCTACTCTAGATGAAAATAAGCTTAAGCTAGTCCATCTTACTGAGGTTTGGGGGTAGAAACCTGAAACATATCATATCACAAATGATAAACATACATATATTATTTTCCTTGCAGTCTGGGTGACACAAACAGCATTAATCTTAGAGAATGCAAAGATATTTTTTTCTGACCTTAGATGAGAATTATATACATATCCAACTTTCCTTGTGTGCATCTAATGCTTTAAACTACAGTAGATGCTAGTTTTCTTGTAGAATGATTCAACATCACATCTCAATAGAAAAATGAAGATGCTGCCTATGTAGAAACATGGATTTACACACATTTATCTACAAACAGTAGCTTTGGAAACTTTCTTTTTTTTTTAACTTTTATTTAACAAAATGTACTAATAAAACATTAGTGAGGTTCCCACTATTGCATTGAGTCTGTCAGTGTGTTCATGGTTATTGTCATACTTTCCCTCAAAAATGCACTAGGATTTGATATATTAAAAAGTTGCATTTGATAAAAGCAAAATTGGATTCCCACCCAATATTTTTTTTAATCATTAGTATTTTTTTCTTTTCAGTAGCTTCTTTATTATGTGACTGACAGAAACAAAATGCCAAGCCATTATGCTGGACTGGATAAATGATGCAGACTTGATCTTACTAAATTTAAATGCATTTACTTAAGAAGAAAGATTTAATTAAATTGTCCTTGATAATAAATATATAATTCATTGTCAGCCCCTAAGTGAACCACTGTGTGCGAGACAGCAGAGAGGATCTACCCAGGTAGAGCTGCTGACATAAGAATCAGATGCAGTAACTCCTTTTAAACCTGTAGGGCAGAATTCTCAACAGACGGTATTCGTACCCGTAGTGGTCCGTCAGTGGAGAAGGGAACATGAAAACATTTTATTTCTTAGGTAGTAAAATAAAATATAGCTGCTGTCTGTTTTGCTTTGTGAGGACCCAATTAAAAAGTTAAACAGGCTCATGCTGTTTTATTTTCTGATATACTCAGAATTTTATCATAGTTTTGTGCATAAAAAAAGAAAAAATCAATAACCAGGTCCATTAGACACATTAGGGTTAAGAAAAAACATTGCATGTCTGTATTATGAGAATCTTATTAAAGAATGGTCTGCATTTTTTCCACAGAGAATTAAATATTTATTGGGAGACGATTCTACAACTCAGTGACAGGATGTGAGATTTATGTATCTTTGGTTTGTTTAATATGAGCGACATGCAGGTCCTTTTTATTTATTTATATTTACAGTACACGAAGAACAGTTAATGTATTTATACTTATTTACAAATAAATGCTTATAAAGGGTTGAATAGGTCTTTAATGAAGCTTAATAAGCTGATACATAAGTCCAGTTTTGTTCTGAGAACTTGTGAAGTTTTTTTTAAAAATACACATTTTTCATAAATGTCGAAAATTATGGACAATTCTGAGCATCCTATTTAGGAGATTGCTGAAAAACAATCTTATATTCAGTCCAAGACTTCTCCAGATGCCTACAGTAATTAATATCTACAACATTTTATTTAATTTGAATGCTGCAATTAACATCTGCAACATTCTTAGGTGTTTTTAAGTTGCATTAAATATGATTTGAATTAGAATGTAGCCTATGAAGACAAGGTGAAAACAAGGGGCTAATTAAATTGAGAAAAGAAAAAGAAAATTTGGAAACTGCCTAAGAGTGCATGATATCTGCTGTGTTAAAAACATTTTTACAGTTTTAAATTATATTTTTGCTTTAAATATTTTCTTGCTGTAAAACCCAAAATAGGTTTTCCTGTCTTGTATTTTGGCAGATTCATATTTTGTGTTATCTATCTTTAATAGCCCACTGGCTGTGATCCAGAGCTCTAAAGAGAGATTGATACAAGGCTATAAAATAAATACTTGTAAGCTTTGATGTTTTAAATCAGTCACTAGTCAAACTCCTCCTCCTTGTCTGAGAGGCTGCATGGATCGCCAAATTTTCCTTTCCTTCCTCCTTCCATACAACCAAAAATCCAGGGATCACTGGAGGCCCAGTATGATGCCACGTCCCACCGACTGCAAAAAGCCACCATGGACAGGAATGAGATCAAAGTATGCCAAAGCATGAGAAGGCAGGATATATAAAACCTTTTCCTTCCCAAGCCTTATTCCCTCTTCTCCCTTTAGCCTTCTTGCACTGATGCATGCCAGAGGAAATGGCAAAGCAACAAAGCAGCTGGGGGAACATAGATGGATTTGCTCAAAATTAGGATGTCAGACTTACAATTAAGGCCATGGGGTTTTAAGCTGTGACAACAATGCAAGGATTGAAGGTCTGTTTATGCTAAATGATTGTAAGTGTGCAATCATAGACCACATTATTTGTTTTCAGGTTCTAAGTTAAGTTTTAAAAAAGATAAAAACCCTTTAAAGCAAAAAACAGTGGTATAATTTAAATAACCATCCAAAAAAACAATTTACATCTTGTCACATTACAAACATAAACTTCATTTTTTTATTATAACAATTGCATGCAATACATTAGATATGTAAAGTCAGGGGGAATTAAATATTTATATTTCAAAACCTAAAAAAAGATGGATTCACATCTGTTCCCATGATTTGATATTTATGCAAAATCCCCTTTTCAATTCAGCTAAGATGAAAAATATTTGAATTTCAGTTTCTTGCATCAGATCAGGAAAGCTGCTGTCTAAAAAGTGTTTTTACGCAGTCTAAAGAAGAGGATGCTGAAGGTTCTAGAGGACTTTTATGCACTTGGAGATACGACCCTTATATGGTATGGCTCTACCAGCTTTGCAGAAGTAAACAGTTATATTTGTGGACTTCCAAATCCTCTCAAAATAGCTTAAACCATATTTAATTGTAGACTTAGGAGGACCCCATTAATAATTTTATTCAATTCAAATAATATTGGCCATTCAATTTTATTATAGCTCTGGCTATGTTTAAGATGATCTAATCTTATCCTGCTGGAAGGTGAATCTCTGTCCCAGTTTCAGATCTTTTAAAAATATATTTTTCACTGCTTGCTTTTTTTTTTTCCATTTCTCTTCCCACCAACTATGACAACTCTCCCTGCCCCTGTTAAAGAAAGGACTCCTACAGCCTCCGCTCTGTTACGCTGTGTAGATGGTGCTTTTAAGGTAATGTGTAGTTGTAGTTTTCCTCCAGGTGTTTCCATGCAGCAACCTTTTCATGAACCTTGGTAGGTTTCTAACTTAATTTTTGATCCACTCTAGGAAATAAATGAGATGGCAGAAATAAAAAAAAATGCCATTGCCACTGAGTGAGGAAGAACATTTTGGATGGACCCTAAATTAAAGGGGGACCTTCATAGTGGAAGGACACTAAATGTTTGTATTTTACATTGCCCGACAAGTGCTAACACACAGTGAAAGTCGAAATGAGCTGCTAAAACTTGTGGGATGCAAAGCACAAAAACAAATGCAACAGAAACGCTGAAAACAAAAAATAAAGCAGCTAAAAAGAAAAAAAGACTGAAAGCAAAAACAAAATACAATCACAAAAAAATAAAATAAAATAGTAAAAACAGCTGCAAACTCTCTGTTAAAAAGTGCTTCGCACTACTATATGGTGTTGAGCATGGCACTTCCTCTCGCTGAACTGCAATTCACTGGATTGCTAATAGACTGTTGGTAGTTCATGGTGCTGTGAAGTCACCAGCCGCCATATTGGTACTCTCTAGTTAGACTGGTCGGAATGTAAATAATACGTGCACCACAGCATCAAACAACGCTGATTTTCTAACTTTCAGGGTGGCTTAAGACTTTTAAAACAAAGATAAGGTAATTACTTTGACACACACTTGCTGTTTTATTGCATCAGTAGACTACTGTAATTTATGATAAAAAATTGGCACATCACGTTGCATATTCAGTATGTCCATGAAGTATATAAATCATGTGATATAATGTTATTATTTAATTTTTATAATATTAATATTGTAACCTTAATAATATAATATAATTTTATTATATTATACAAATCCATCGCAACAAAATTTGTGTGTTAATGAAGCATGATAATATTGTAGTCAGATATTAAAACTATTACACACACACAAACACACACACTATCTAACAATGTGCCAAAAATGCTAAATTGATGATGTAAATGTAATATACATGTATTGATTACATTGTTATGGTAACCACATTACATTACAGGCATTTTTATGGCGGGACTCCATGAGAGTGGGGAGTACCAAGATGGCGGTATATGACTTCAGTATTTTCGGTCTATCATCAATCCAGTTAATAAATAAAGATCAGTGTTCCTTGTAGTATCAAACCTGACCCTCTGTACAAACAGGAATTTAAATCTCAACACAGGATTAAAAAAAAAGAAAGTTGGAAGAAGAAAGAGGTTTTTTATCTTTCATTGGCACGCACACAGTCTTACAGTATTCGAGCATAAAAGCACAGTTATGTATAGTAATAAAAGTAAGTCTCTCGTGCGCTATGGTTCGTTCTTTGTTCAACTCCATCTAGTGGTCTGTAGCACCTCAGGTTTAGAGCAAGTTTGCAACTGTATTTGTTTTTTTCATAATTTTCATTCTGTTATTGCAGCCTTTTGTTTATTTGTTTTTGTTGTTTTTTTGATGTTTGTGATTTCGGAATTTTTTGTTTGCAGTCTTTTTTTCCATTGCATTTGTTTTGTGTTTGCATGTTTCACTGTTTGCTGCATGTTTTCATCTGTTTGAAGCTCCTTTCAATGGTGTTTGCAGAGTTTTATTTTTTGCATTTTTATGTGCTCTGGAGTTTGGGTCACACATATTTGTGCAGCTTGCGTTTGTTTCACTGTTACCGGTGGTTTACATGAAGCCCACAGTAGTACAGTATTTAGTTGAATATTCCCAGTGTTACTTGTTAATCTTAAACTACATTGGTCTTTTTTTATTTGGCTTTTAATTTTTTGAATACACATCATTTAAGCATGGTGTCTCAAACTATATTTTAATTTTTTTTCTATGCATATGTCTGATATGATTTCAGACATATGCATAGTTCAATATCATATAACAATCCAAAAACATGAAGTCACATTATGAGCAGAAAAAAGACCAACATGAGTGACAGGGAGTGAAATGTTAGGCTGTCTGTACATAAGTTTTTTTATGATTGAGAGCAGCACTGGATTTTAAGAACCTTCCAATCAATACTGCTACTCCTCTACAGCCATCTAAATAGCAATTTTTTTGTCACTAAAACAGTGATTATGTTCAGGGCAGAACATTAAGAAAAAAGCCATGGTGGAAGTTTCTCATCAGCTTCAGGATTTGGGGGAGCAAAGCTCCTGAACCCAAATCTGTAGCATCTAAGTGAAGGAGGACTTTTTTGACCTCTAGACCAGTGTTTCCCAATCTTTTTTTACTTGTGTACCCCTTTGGGCAGTTTGTCTTACCATGAGTCCACCTCGCAATCAAAAGTATCTATTTTTGTCCAAAAGTTGAATGTATATTAAATTCTTAGACATTTTATTCTTTCCAACTCAAATAAGAAAAAAACATAAATATGTTGCCTGGAAACTAGTAATGAATCAAAATGAATACAAAATAAAATCATATTATGAATCAGCCTTTGTAAATGTGGAGCTCTTATGAGTAACGCCATTGTAATGATATGGACTTGATGAATTGCAACAAAATACTGGACAGTAATTATAGCCAGACTGACTACATTTATTTGACTTTCATTTCAACACTCATGACACTTGAGCTGGCTTTGATGAGCTCCAATAGCTCAGGTGTGGAAAAATAGCTGATACCAGGCAGTTCTCTACATTTAGTCTTTTTCTCTCATTGGTTTGAATGTATATCACAGCTGAAAGTAAACTCAAAGAAAATCTTTCTTTTAGGTCTAAAAAAAAAAGGTTGTTTTATTTTTAGAACTGAAAGTCAATCAAACATATTCCTGCAGCTCTAGACTGATGGCAAGGAAAACTGACAAAGTGTTGGTTGAGCCACTGCTTTCTGCAGAAATTATTGCTCACCACAAATTGCTTTGATCTTTCCTGACTGAAATGAAATTTTCCCTGAAAAGAAGCTTTATTGTATTTAGAAATCTTTGCTCTTCAGATCGTAAATAATTCAGAAAATACTGAAGGAAAATTTTAAGTTGAACTTTTAAAACTAGAAAGAAAATTGCCAGCAATATAATCTGTGTGTCATATAAGGATGATTGTATATGTATAGAGTGCAACAATTAAAAAGTAATGGCTAAAGCTTATTTTTCTGCAATATAAAACACTATCTCAAAAGTTACTGACAGACAAACTCATTACCAATGAATAGCAACATGCAGGTCTAAGTTTTAGGTGGTGTTCCATTAAATGAACACTTTGCAAGGATATGAGAGAAGCGAAGTGATTAAATTCACAGCACACTGTACAAGTGAGATCTGTTGAAGGAGCAGAAATGACAGCTTTCATTAAAGCTTTTGTGGTAGCAGACAGGACGCGCATGAGAAAAAAGCCTCTCCATAATCCATTTTATGGCCCTGTCAATAATATGTTGAGCTAAAGAAGGGCAAACTTTGTGAATTATTTATAAATCTGTCTTTCTGGTGTGGGCTTTAACATCATTAAAGTGACAGCACAAAAGCCCTTAGCAGTGTTTGATATTGTATTGCTGAAAGAGAAGAATAGTAGGGAAGCGGATGCAAGATGAATCTCGGGATCACACACTCATACAAAAAAAGAATGAATGGCAAAAACACAAAATAAAAGTATAAAGGAGGAGAAACTTCTTTACAAAACTCTTAGAATTTGATTTCACAATGCAGCCTATCCAATTGGTAATCTTTTAATAGATATAAAGACACTCCACATCCTTATCAGATGTGTTTTTTGAAATAAACATTGTGTATAAAAGAATTATACTCTACCCCAAGCATATTCACATCTTTAACTATTAACCTTTAAATGGCCAACACTTTATACAAGACAGTTTTCTGATGCCAAAGGTTTATAACTAAAGGACAAGTAAAAGACAGAAATAAGAACTATAATGAAAAAATGTGGCAAAGATTACATGTAGAACTAAGATTTTAATCTTAATTCTACATTAAACTAACTATTGCAGACAGCTGGAATATGCAAAAAAAAATAAAAAAAAAAAATCCTCATGACTTTAAAACTACTGTGTAGCAAAGAGTGTACCTTTTATTTGTGACTGGACCAGCATTCGTCTTCATGCAACTAACATTACGGCTTTGGACACCAACTGGACAGGAAGAGGTCCAATTCTGGAAGCTGCTTGCATTGATTTTTGCAGAAGCATCCTCGGTACAGAGACCCCATTCTGAGGCATTCCAATAAAATACAGGGCAAGGGTGGTCATTGCAGACTCTCCATTCCTCTAGTGCTGGGGCTGCTGGGCACACTTTGCCATCTGGACATTGGAATCATAGGACAAAGACATTACTCAGTAGCAATTTTAGAAGTGTAGTTTGATGTATTCTTCTTAGACAGAACCCACAGTTCTTTCTTGATTTAGCTCAAAATTACTAGCTGGAAATCATTAAGCTATTATATCTGCCATTTCTAACTCAATAGTTCTAAAGTCAAAAATTCCAACTAACAGCTAATAAACCTTTCGACTAATCACTTATATTTGACAAGGCTTTTGAGCAAAGGTGAGACATTTTCAAGAGCAAAAATGGAAATCCAGCTGCCAGTTAAAGATGTGCACTCCATGACGCCACACACTAAAATGTTTAAAACTGCTGTAATTTTGCACACACAAATCTCTTTGAACCTTACTTGAAGATTAGATGTACACATGCTTTGCACATAATAGAAAGTGTGCATGTCTTCTAATACGCACAAACCTTTTAAAGATCAGGCCCTTAGCATGTACTGTAGAAAACAAAATACAATTCAATATACGGTGAGTTGTCTGGAAAGGAACATTAGAAAGCATTTATGTTGTGGTTTGGTTTGGCAAAATAGACTCTTACAGTAAATCTTGGTTAATATGAACCAAAGTGGAGGCTTTGGTCAGTTTCTAATTCAACACAACTAACACACTTAGGAAGAATTACAAGAATCAGGGAAACATCCTTTTTTGTTATGCTGATGTTTTTCATAAGGTATCTGGGTCATTTGTATTTTTTTTCTTTTATGGCAACATTACTGCAAACTTTTTTAAGTCTTTAGATTTTTTTAGTAATATGTCTGATATTTGTTTACCAGAAATAATTTGTTCTACCTCTCAAATAACACTGATGCACAATATAACTATTGTTTTTTTTCTATATGCATACAGTATGAAACCCCGTTTGAAGTCGAGCAAACTGTGTAAGCTTATGGTAGAGATGCTTGTTTAGTTGAGCCATTTTTTGAGAGTTCGTGAACACTATATTAAGACACTTGAACCAGTTAAGTAAAAGCGTAGAGTAAAATTTATTTAGGTTTATTTTGAAATTACAAGAACATCAAGCATCCTACAAAGCATTAACTGATTATGAACTCTCTATTCTGTACCAAATCATTCTGCATTCAAATATGATGTCTGAAGTTAGTAATCAAATACCGTATACCAAGTTCTAGACAGTTCAAAAAATTTAACTAACAAATTTTTAGATAACATAAAGATAATGAACACCCAGAAATCTCAATAAACTAAAGTTTTTTAGTAAAGAACAATCAACAAAATGAAAAAAAAAATCTGATTTGAACTTAAAAGTAAAACATTCTCCTTACTTTAGAGGACAACCATGTAGCTGAGGTGACAATAATAACTATTAAATTAAAGAGTAACTAAGTTTGCAGTAATTTTAAATTTTAAACAGCTATTTGTTTTATTTTAAGTTTATTTGAAAAACAGTTATTACAAAATCGTATTCTATTCCAGAGGAATTTATAAAATGTATTTTTTTCACTTTTTCCATCATTATTATTATTTGCATTTTCACAAACTATTTAATTCCTTCCATTTGTTAAAATAAGCATAGTTTTTGTCCACCTCAGTAGTATTTAAAGTTCTGTTATATCTCAATGGAGATAAAAGTATCAAACACTTATTGTAAGAGATAAAGATGTTAGCTGTGATAAATGAAATACTTTGTCACTGAACTAAAACCAAGATAATACCTTTACTTTTGGATCTGCTTTGGATTCTACAGATGTTCTGCTAATTCAAACAATGCGCAGCACTCTCACAGCTTTCTCTGCCAGCTAACAGATAGCAGGAAATGTGGTTTAAGCTGCAAGATTCTTTCATCAGCTGTTATTGCTGATATGTGTTTAGTTACAGGGATTAATGGGCAACAGCCTCCTGCCAAGGCTTCCAATGCTGTCTGACTTGAAAACCTGAAGCATACAGAGCCACACTTGCCAGAGTAACAGTTCCTGATAAGGGATGGTTGGCTTAAACCTTACAAATGAAAAATGTCTGTTTAGGAATCTTAAATCTAGGGAACCAACCAGAAGGGTTGCAATACTGGTGAAACCACTCTGATAAAACCTAATGCCCAATCAATCGTTATCTACTATTTGCTGAGCTTAGTTTTCAGTGAGATCTTGGATTATTTTCGACATTTGTAATTACAAAACATTTTTCACATCTGTACTCTGATTCTTCATTCATGAATCTTATATATATATATATATATATATATATATATATATATATATATATATATATATTGTTTTCTTCTATACTACTATGAGTTCTTCTTAGTCCTTTATTTCAATTATAAGAATTCAGGAGAACTTAGGATGTATATCCCCATGCGCCTGAAGATGGAGAATGGATCACAGCTGTGGAAAATGTCCTTTGTGGTACCAGTGCTAACACCAATCATTGGGAGAACTTCTATGGCTACAAGAACATCTGATGGTGAAATCTGTTAAAGACCGTCCTCAGTCTTTTGTAAAGACGGTCTTTTGATTTCTCCTTTGCTTAGACTTGGACCTTTGAGTGACAAACTGAAGCTTTATATGGAGCTAGAAGGGTCTCAATATTAACAAACTCAAATACCCACTTATGCACAAGAAAAGATCCACACATAGACACAAGGATTCAAATAAACAAGATCCACAAAAGTACTTGTGATGTACAGTATATGCAATTTTATCTTGATTTACAAACTACCAGTGGTCTTTGAACTTCACTGCATTTGTGTGTGGATTTCTGAGACTCACCTGACATTACTAAATGCACAAATGCATTTTTAACAACCTATAATTTGCAACCAATTAGATAACTCCATTGTTCAGCTCCATTTCATAAACTTTAATTTTACCCTAACTCATTGCACATTTCATTCAACCTGTACAGTTTTATTGTCTCTGTTTTAAATGTAAATTATATTAGAGGAGTAACATAATGGAATGATATACGTGTTTTACACACAGGAAGAAGAATGATTTTAAGTAATCTGAGGGAATTTAATATTACTGTACCTTTTCCTGGAATGGCTAATACTGTGCGAGTGCGACTCTGCTTGCCCTCCGCAGTCTTTGTCGCACAGCTGTGTGAGCAGGGTGACCAAAAGGACCAAGAGCCTACCACACAGTCTGCACAACAGGGAACATCACAGGTCTCCTCAGTGGGTGGATGGACGTCTGCACAGTGGGTGTCAGGCACGTCGACTCCTAAACATGACATATTAACACATTTGTTCAAATTGTGACCTTACAATTAGATTGAGTTATCTCAGAAAATAAGCATTAATTTAATGAAAAGCATAGTAAGAGAAACATTTTAAAGTTTTTAGAGTTTTTCTAAATTCTAGATTGATAAGGCGGAATAGTTTTAACT